ATAATATAAACACAGGGTAGTCCTACTAAGTGAATATGACTTATAAGCACAATAGGGAGGAAGGGGCTTAGTTGGAAAAGGCTTCAAAGGATTAAGAAAGGATTGAAGTGAATTTTAGAGAATGGGTAGGATTTGAATAGAAAAAGGGAAAGGAAGAGAAAGAAGACAATATTCTAGGCAAGGGCAACAACATAAGCAGAGGCAAAAAAGAGTCATGATGAATATGGATGAGTAGGATGAGGAAACTAGCCTGGTTTGAGGGAAGGCTATGTACTGGCAAGTAGTGGAAAAAATAAGATTGAACTGGCCAGGCGCAGTGGCTCACGCCTGTAATCCTAGCACTCTGAGAGGCCGAGGCGGGCAGATTCCCTGAGGTCAGGAGTTCGAAACCAGCCTGAGCAAGAGCGAGACCCTGTTTCTACTATAAATAGAAATAAATTAATTGGCCAACTAATACATATAGGAAAAAAAAAAATGAGCCAGGCATGGTGGCGCATGCCTGTAGTCCCAGCTACTCAGGAAGCTGAGGCAGTAGGATTGCTTGAGCCCAGGAGTTTGAGGTTGCTGTGAGCTAGGTTGATGTACGGCACTCACTCTAGCCTGGGCAACAAAGTGAGACTCTGTCTCAAAAAAAAAAAAAAAAAAGACTGAACTGGTAGGGTGGGTACTATGGTGCAACAGAAAGAGCGATGCAATAGGAAACCACTGCAAAGTTTTAGCAAGAGAATGATGACATGGGTGCTTTTAAGAATAAGTTGGAAACAGTATGCAAGAGGGCTTGGAATGGATGTAGAAAAATGGAAATGTTAGAGAAAGTATCTCATTATTATAAGAAATGAAAGTATTTAAAACCACTAACTGTACATTTAGAAATGGCTAAGATAATAAATTTTATGTGTATTTTACCACAATAAAAATATTTGAAAAAAAAAGATTAATTAAACACAGTCTATAAATGTAAGAAGCTACCAACTTGACAAATAAAAACTATGCTAGTACAGGTTGAGCATCCCAAATCAGAAAATCTGAAATGTTCCAAAATCCAAAACTTTTTGAGTGCCAACATGACACTCAAAGAAAATGGTATTTAGGGCATTTCAGATTTTGTATATCTGGATTAGAGATACTCAACCGATAAGTATAATGCAAATATTCCCAAATCCAAAAAAGTCCAAAATCTGAAACACCTCATCCCAAGTCTTTCGGATAAGCAATCTCAACCTATTTGTTCCTGGAAATAAATATATAGGATGTTTTTATAAAATCCATTTATGTAGAATATAACAACTAATAAAAAGCAAGAAAGTACATTCATAATGTTCTAAAGTAAAACAATGAATTACACCTAAATTATATTCAATACAGTATTAAATTAATTTACTTGTGTTATCCTTTACATTCATAGCTTTTTTTTAAAGCATTTAAACTTCATTACACAAAAGAGCAACAAGAATGGCATCCTGCCATACAAAAGGCAGGAGAGAAAAATATATATATACTGAGTTCAATGGGTAAGCCTCAATGTAGCACAGTTCTTCACAACCAATGGGGGGATAATTCAACATGGTGTCCAACAACGTTCTAATAACGTACTTCATCTCAACTGGTTACTATGAAGCAAGGTGTAAATGTTTGGCCCATAGCTTTTAATAGTCATAAAACAGGCCAGGCCCAATGGCTCACGCCTGTAATGGTGGCACTCTGGGAGGCCGAGGCAGGCAGATTGTCAAGGTCAGGAGTTCAAAACCAGCCTGAGCAAGAGTGAGACCCTGTCTCTACTATAAATAGAAAAAATTTAATTAGCCAACTAATATATATATATATAAAAAATTAGCCAGGCATGGTGGCGCATGCCTGTAGTCCCAGCTACTTGGGAGGCTGAAGCAGGAGGATCGCTTGAGCCCAGGAGTTTGAGGTTGCTGTGAGCTAGGCTTGACACCACGGCACTCACTCTAGCCTAGGCAACAGAGTGAGACTCTGTATCAAAAAAAAAAAAAAAAAGTCATAAAACAAAAACAACAAATATATTATAAATAAAATGATAACTGAGTTTACAAATTTAAAAATCAACCCAGGCCTTTTAACTTAATTCTTATAAAATAACATCAATTCACAGGCCTGAAGAACTATATATAACCTAAAGTCATGTTGTTACAAATCATCCTGTTAGTCACACCTAAAAATATTTTCTTCCATACTGTCATTTTTTCCAACTTTATTTATCTTTTTTTATTATTGTTAAGTATTTGTAAAGTACATTCACTCAGCGGCATACTGCTGAGATATTTAAAAGATTAAACTTTTCCTACTTAGTTGTAAATACAGATGCTTCGCTGAAGGCAGAATGACTTCATAAAATGGCCCTCACCAGATATCTGGAATACATGTATAGGAAATAGGCTTTCTTGCTATTGCAACCATGTAGAAAATGCGCTGCCCGATCATACTCTTTAACATCAAAGTAGGCCTTGGCCAGGGTGTACGCATCCATATCCTGAGCATCCTCCTAGAAAAGAGACAAGTTTTTGTAAATAGCTAGGAATGAAACAACAAAAATTCAAATCTAAGATGCATATTCATTAACTTCAAAATGTAAGAAAAAAATGTTTATTTTTCTATTCCTAAAAATCTAACATATATACATACATATAAATATTATTTTTATGTATTTATTTTACTACCATGTAAAGCCATAGAACTTTTTTTTTTCTGGCCAGGCGTGGTGTCTCACACCTGTAATCCTAGCACTCTGGGAGGACGAGGCAGGCGGATTGCTCCAGGTCAGGAGTTCGAAACCAGCCTGACCAGGAGTGAGACCCCCGTCTCTACTATAAATAGAAAGAAATTAATTGGCCAACTAAAATTATATATACAAAAAATTAGCTGGGGATGGTGGCGCATGCCTGTAGTCCCAGCTACTCGGGAGACAGAGGCAGTAGGATCGCTTGAGCCCAGGAGTTTGAGGTTGCTGTGAGCTAGGCTGATGCCATGGCACTCAGTCTAGCCTGGGCAACAAAGTGAGACTCTGTCTCCAAAAAAAAAAACGAACTTTACTTTTTAAAAATAAAAAGTTGCAGAAAAAAACAAAAATTTAAAAAACTAAATCAACACACTCAGAAACTTATACTGTTTCCATAAACATAGTAAGAAGTTGAATAGGCTTTCTTGTTAAGGATGCAGATTCAAATTCTGACTCCCTGATTTCCTGGTTTCATTTCATTAGTAGGGAGGTTACTTAGCTTCTCTAAGCATCTATATCTTCATCTGTAAAATGAAGATAATAACACTGATCTTAAAGATTTAATATGAAAAAAATATGAAAAATTCACATAAAATGTCCAGCATTAATATCTGACATTCTCTTCCTTCTTTTATTTTATTTTTTAATTTTTTTGAGACAGAGTCTCACTTTGTTGAGACTTTCTATTTTTCTTTCTATTTTTAGTAGAGATGGGGTCTCGCTCAGGCTGGTTTCGAACTCCTGACCTCAAGCAATCGCCGCCCGCCTCAGCCTCCCAGAGTGCTAGGATTACAGGTGTGAGCCACCACACCCGGCTTCTGTCTTTTAAATTCCTGTAAATGCACAGTACACTGCATAAGTATATTACACAGTATTTTGCATAAATGCAATATAATCTTTGTACTTCAATAAAGTTTTGTCATAAATTAGTATTGCTGGCCGGGCGCGGTGGCTCACGCCTGTAATCCTAGCTCTCTGGGAGGCCGAGGCGGGCGGATTGCTCAAGGTCAGGAGTTCAAAACCAGCCTGAGCAAGAGCGAGACCCCGTCTCTACTATAAATAGAAAGAAACTAATTGGCCAACTAATATATATAGAAAAAAATTAGCCGGGCACGGTGGCACATGCCTGTAGTCCCAGCTACTCGGGAGGCTGAGGCAGCAGGATTGCTTGAGCCCAGGAGTTTGGGTTGCTGTGAGCTAGGCTGATGCCATGGCACTCACTCTAGCCTAGGCAACAAAGCGAGACTCTGTCTCAAAAAAAAAAAAAAAAAAAAATTAGTATTGCTGAAGGCTTTCAACACAACTATAATTCTCTATTGTTAAAAAATTAGATGATGGCACATTTAACTAAAAATCATACAATCTCCCTAGCCAGGTATGGTGGTGTGTGCCTGTAGTCCCAGCTACTTGAGAGGCTGCGGCAGGAGGATCGATTGAGGCCAGGAGTTCGAGACCAGCCTGAGCAAGAGTGAGACCCTGTCTCTACTAAAAATAGAAAAATTAGGGGGAGGGGGGAAATGGGCATTTATTGAAACCTTAAAATCTGTACCCCCATAATATGCCGAAATAAAAAAAAAATTAAAAATTAAAAAAAAAAATAGAAAAATTAGCCAGGTGTCATGGTGTGTGCCGGTAGTCCCAGCTACTTGGGAGACTGGGACAGAAGGATCACTGGAGCCCAGGAGTTTGAGGTCGCAGTGAGCTATGATGACGTTACTGCACTCTAGTCAGGCAATACAGCAAGATGCAAGACTGTCTCAGAGACAGACAGGCCGAGTGCAGTGGCTCACACCTATAATCCTAGCACTCCGGGAGGCCAAGACAGGAGGATTGCTCCAGCTCAAGAGTTCAAAACCAGCCTGAGCAAAAGCAAGAGCGTCTCTACTAAAAATAGAAAGAAATTAATTGGCCAACTAAATATATATAGAAAAAATTAGCTGGGCATGGTAGCACATGCCTGTAGTTCCAGCTACTCGGGAGCCTGAAGCAAGAGGATCACTTGAACCCAGGAGTTTGAGGTTGCTGTGAGCTAGACTAATGCCACAGCACTCTAGTCCAGGCAACAGAGTGAGACTCTGTCTCAAAGAAAAAAAAAAAAAGTTTAAATAAAGGACATTATAAAGCAGTATGTATAATGATATAGATTTTGCAAGCAAACTACTCACACACACACACCTTTTTAGTATTTGCACAGAAAAATATTCTGGAATCATGTCCACCAAACAACCTTTGGGGTGGGACTACAGTGAGCTTTCACATTCTATGGTATATAATTCTGTTACCTTTGACACTTTAAATACTGTTATTTTTACATTTGTGTTACTTATAACAAAGAAAAAAACAAACAAACTCCCAAATTCTAAGAATGAGTTGTTTAAAACTTCAATAACTTAATTTTCCTCATCCTTCTTGCCCCAAGTATCACCAGCATAAAACTGGAAGCAAAACATATTCAGTGTTTTCTTCATTGGATCAGCATGTCCTAAATGTGGCCATTTAGTTTAGGATTATGGAGGCCCTTTTCGTATCAGCTCTCCCTTCCATTTACTTCTTTCTTTTCCCCCACCCCCTCACCTGCATTATACCTTTTTGAGTAAGAAATATTCATTATTTTTGAGTGGCAAAGAAAACAAAAGCAGTGGAATCTTCAAGAAAAACAAAATGGATTATGATGAAAATCATTCAGATTACACAAGACTATGTAAACACACTTACTATAGGCCATATACAAAATATATTCCTGATCCGGCAATTCCACTACTGGGCATCCACCCAAAAGATCAAATGACACTCTACAAATGGGACACCTGCACTCAAATGTTTATAGCAGCACAGTTCACAATCACAAAGGTGTGGAAACAACCCAGGTGCCCATCAATACATGAGTGGATTAATAAAATGTGGTATATGTATACCATGGAGTACTATTCAGCTTTAAGAAAAAATGGTGATATAGCACCTCACATATATTCCTGGATAGAGCTGGAACCCATTCTACTAAGTGATGTATCTCAAGAATGGAAAAACAAGCACCACATGTAATCACCAGCAAACTGGTATTAACGGATCAACACTTAAGTGGACATATAGGAATAACATTTATCGGGTGTCGGGCAGGTGGAAGGGGGGGCATGGGCAATATACGTAACCTTAACATTTGTACTCCCATAATATGCTGAAATAAAAAAAATATATATATATATATTCCTAACTTTCCATATATCTCTATAGTTCAGAAAGTTTTACTATTTGGACTATATAGACTTTAAAATTTTAGTTTCATTCTTGCTTACAGGAAGCACCTAAAATGTCCTACTGAAAGTTACATATAACGTAACTTAGAGGTATTTAGCATTATGGTTCAGTTCTTTAAACCAAATTGCCACAGTTGGTCCCAGTTACATCTTATATTCAGAAAAGATAAGCTTGGGGTCCAAGACAGAATATAACTAGTTTCAAGACCTATATTAAATGTTTCTTTGGTAATGTTTATATAAAACTGAGGGTAAGCTATAATAAGTATCTATTACATAGATTAAGCACAATATAAAAATCTTCAATTTCAATAACTTTAAAGGCCAAAGTTTTGTGGGTTTTTGTGAGACAGAGTCTCACTTTGTTGCCCAGGCTAGAGTGAGTGCCATGGCATCAGCCTAGCTCACAGCAACCTCAAACTCCTGGGCTCAGGCGATCCTCCTGTCTCAGCCTCCCAAGTAGCTAGGACTACAGGCATGTGCCACCATGCCTGGCTAATTTTTTGTATATATATTTTTAGTTGGTCAATTAATTTCTTTCTATTTTTAGTAGAGACGGGGTCTTGCTCAGGCTGGTTTTGAACTCCTGACCTCGAGCAATCCTCCCACCTCGGCCTCCCAGAGCGCTAGGATTACAGGCATGAGCCACCGCGCCCAGCCCAAAGTTTTAAGGTTTACTCTAGTTTAAACTGTAGATCAAGGCTGAATTGATACTTCTATGTCTTCAAGTAAGAAAAAAACCAAAAAAAGGCTGAATTGAAACAAAATGTTTCTCTGGGGTTTCTCAGAGATACTCTCTAGAGAAGACATGAAAATACTAAATGTACAACAAATTAGTAAAGAGGCTGCTGAATCAATACATTTCATAGTAAGTCGAAAGCTATTAAACTAACCAACAGCTGATACTTTACAATAATTCAGTAATGATCAGGTTTCTCCAATATTTGTAAAATCCCCGAATATTATATGAACCCTTTGGAGAGGGGGTATTTAGCAAACCTCTACTTCTCACCAGGCACTGTGCTTTATTTACTCATTCAACAATAAGTTATCACATTCAGGACCAACAATGTACCTAGGCACTGTGAAAATAGGCACAAGTAAAAGCTAATAAGACATATATAAATCATATTGGCTAAAAAACATTTCTTTTCTTTTCTTTTTTTTTTTTTTTAGAGACAGTCTTACTGTTGCCCAGGCTAGAGTGCCATGGCGTCGGCCTAGCTCACAGCAACCTCAGACTCCTGGGCTCAAGCAATCCTTCTGCCTCAGCCTTCTGAGTAGCTGGGACTACAGGCATGTGCCACCATGCCCGGCTAATTTTTTTCTATATATTTTTAGTTGGTCAATTAATTTCTTTTTGTTTTTGGTAGAGACAGGGTCTCGCTCTTGCTCACGCTGGTCTGGAACTCCTGAGGTCAAACGATCCTTCCACCTCGGCCTCCCAGAGTGCTAGAATTATAGGCCACCGTCCCCTGCCTAAAAAACGTTTCTTAAAGAGTAACATATGTTTCACTCTTACTGTCTTATTTATTCTTCTTGAAAATCCAGTAATGATTTATACATACACACACACACACACATATATATATATATTTCCTCTCCCCAACACCCAGACAGGGATTGGCTCCATCACCCAGTCTGGAGTACAGTGGCATGATCATAGCTCACTGCAGACTGGAACTCCTGGGCTCAAGCCATCCTCCTGCCTCAGCCTCCCAAATAGCTAGGACTACAGGCCAGTGCCACCACACTTGGCTAATTTTTCTATTTTTTTGTAAAGACAGGGTCTCACTCTTGCTCAGGCTGGTCTCGAACTCTTGAACTTGAGCTATCCCCCTGCCTCTGCCTCTCAAAGTGCTAGGATTACAGGCCACTAAACCCAGTCCATTAATATGAATATCATCTATAGATGAGAAGGCTGCCACTTAGAAATCACTTGTCCACATTGATGCTTCTAGTAAAGAATCTGACTAGTATATAGATGCAAATCTACTTGAAAGCCATAGAGCATTATGTTCACCCTACCAAGTCATCTTCCCCTTATTTGTAATTAAAATAATGATGATGATAGCTAGTTTTACTGAGTCCTATGTGCCAGGTACACTTCTAAGCAGTCTATATATGTTATCTCAATTCTCTCAATATCCCAATTAAGTATATACTATTATTTTCCACATTTCACAAATGAGGAAACTGTGGCTCGGGAGGTTAAGTTGCCAAAGGTCACTAGTTTGACTGAGATTTGAATCCCGGGTTGTCTCGATTCAGAACCCACACTCTTAACCATTTTGCTATGCCAATCAGACAGCAGTGTAGGAATTGTTGTAAAATCTTTTTTAATTCTTCTCAACCTTAGGAGTAATTATTATTATGAGACATCCTTACAATAACGTTTATTATTACGAGACATAACTTTGGTAGGTTGGGCTACTACAAAACCTAAAAGGCTGAAATCTTAATAACTGTTTATTAATTCACTCTAGCTGAAATAACAGCACCACCAAACCTTTCAAAGTTCAACAAAGCCACCACGGAGAAAGTCGCTTATAACACCCAGCTCTTCAAATGCTTGAATTCCCCCTACAAACATTCCTGCTAAGCAGTTTGCTCCCCTTCAGTGACAGGACACTCAGTACCTCTTGAGGCACACCCCTCCGCAGACGAAGAGCGCTCACTGTAAAGGCATCCTTACCTCTGTAATGGGCGGCGGCGGCTGCAGCTCCGCTAGAGGCAAGGCGGGAAGAGAAAAGGCCAACTCCGCCGACCTGGAACACGCACACAAACTGGATCAGCTCCACAAGCCCCCAAGGCCGAGGATCCAAGCCCCGTCCCTTCCGACCCCGACATCTCACCATTTGCTACTGTGCAGAAGGCCCCGCTCCCGGGTAAGGCCCGCAATCAGCAGTAGCTGCTTTTTGATCTCCCGCAAATCTGAGAAATCGCCGTCGGTGGTCAAGACCGGCACCACGGCCGCGGGCACAGCCACCGAGACTGCTGAGGTACTCGCAGCCATTTTCCCGACGTAGGCCACTCCAGCCAATCGCCGCCTGTAATACTAGCTGCCCAGTTTACACCAAAAAAGTCTGCCTGTCACTGGCCAGCTCTTGCTCCAAAAACAGCCAATCCAACATCTCACTTCTGGTATCGCCACGAGGAGGCGGGAAAAAAGAGACGACGACATCTCCAATTGGCCAAGAGCTACTGAGGCGGGAAAGTTAGAAACAAAAAGGGGAGAAGGAAGTCGCTACCTCTGGGCATGGCGGAAAGAAATGAGTAACTGGGAAAGGTGAACTTGAAAGCTGGAGGTGGGAGTAGAGGCAAGCAGAGGTGGGGAAGGCACCTTAGGGGTGATGTGATTGGACAAAAAATAGGATGTAAAGAAATAGGTGTGATTTCACAGATTCTGTGCCAGGGGATGAGAAAGCGATGTGTGTGCACTAGGAAGGATGCGAAAATCCTCTGGATTTTTCCCGTAAAAACTGGGAGGAGGCCGGGCACGGTGGCTCACGCCTGTAATCCTAGCACTCTGGGAGGCCGAGGCGGGCGGATTGCTCCAGGTCAGGAGTTTGAAACCAGCCTGAGCAAGAGCAAGACCCCGTCTCTACTATAAATAGAAAGAACTTAATTGGCCAACTAATATATATAGAAAAAAATAGCCGGGCATGGTGGCACATGCCTGTAGTCCCAGCTACTCGGGAGGCTGAGGCAGCAGGATCGCTTGAGCCCAGGAGTTTGAGGTTGCTGTGAGCTAGGCTGACGCCAGGGCACTCACTCTAGCCTGTGCAACAAAGTGAGACTCTGTCTCAAAAAAAAAAACTGGGAGGATGTATCGCCCCATGTGGAAAATCTTTTTCCTCTTTATCAACCCTATTTCTTACCCCAGAGGGGAAAAAAAGATAGCTAACATATATTGAAGGTTTAACCTATGACAGGTTCTGAACTGTTTAATCTGCACAAGTATAATCTGCTTTAGGAGGATGGCTTGAGCCCAGGAATTCATGCCAGCCTGGATAACATAGCAGGACTCCATCCAAAAAAGTGGAGTAAAATATCTGGCTTAACTCTAACAACAACACTATGATATTCGTATCAAACCAATTTTACAGATAGGATAACGGAAGCTCAGAGAGGTTCCATCACTCTTCCAAGGAGAGAATCTAGATTTTAACTCAGATGTGACTCCAAAGCCCAGTGTTCTTAAACATGTGAACATTTTCAACCTTTTTTGCTTTTAACTTGAGAGCCCTTTTATAATAATATACCACCTTACCAACTCACTTGGAAATTTTTTGAAGCATTTTGTCATTCTTTAGGTGTGTTATAATAGAAGTGATTTTAGGTAAGGCATGTTGCTTTAGATTAATATATTATTAAAGATTGTTTTATAAAGTCAACTTAGGCCGGGCGCAGTGGCTCACGCCTGTAATCCTAGCACTCTGGGAGGCCCAGGCGGGCGGATTGCTCGAGGTCAGGAGTTCCAAACCAGCCTGAGCAAGAGCAAGACCCATCTCTACTATAAATAGAAAGAAAACTAATTGGCCAACTAATATGTATAGAAAAAATTAGCCGGGCATGGTGGTGCATGCCTGTAGTCCCAGCTATTCGGGAGGCTGAGGCAGTAGGATTGCTTGAGCCCAGGAGTCTGAGGTTGCTGTGAGCTAGGCTAACGCCACAGCACTCACTCTAGCCTGGGCAACAAAGTGAGACTCTGTCTCAAAAATAAATAAATAAATAAATAAAATGTATATATAAAGTCAACTTAGTTGCATTACAATATAAATAATGTAAAGTATATGAAGGCAAAATTATACTTTTTGGTTTCACAAGTGATGTGCACTTTATATTTGTTTTAAATTTCTTATTTAAGATAAGGCCAGGCGGCCTATAGTCACAGCACTCTGGGAAGCCAGATCGGGAAGATTGCTTGAGGTCAGGAGTCTGAGCAAGAGTGAGACCCACTCTTTACACTCTCTGCAAAAAATAGAAAAATTAGCCAGGTGTGGTGATGCATGCCTATCGTCTCAACCACTAGGGAGGCTGAGGCAAGAGGATCGCTTGAGCCCAGGAGTTTGAGATTTCAGTGATCTGTGATAACGCCCCTGCACTCTAGCCAGGACAACAGAGTAAGACCCTGTCTCAAAAAATTAAAAAAGGAAAAGAAAGAAAAAAAGCATGATTTTTTAGCAAACACAAAAATTACATTATATCATACATCTATCCATATATAAACCTTGAATATATACTGAATGAACACCAGCAAGTAGAATGAAACATAACTGTTTTTGGCATCAGGAATAGTTAAATAATACTTTTATGACCTATTCTTTAGAGTTCTTCCATTTCACCCTTTAAAAAATCAACTTCCTTATTTTTTTTTATTTATTTATTTTTTTTTTGCTCTACCTACGGAACTAGTGGGGCCCTTATTTTTATAATTGCATATCGTTTTGTTTTATTTTTAAATAACAAGAAAATAGAGAAGATTTCAAGATGATTTTGGTAAGCAATTCTCTCCAAACAACACATTTTGAATGTAGCTAGTCTTTTGTTCCAATAAATGAAAAGTTAAATTGTATATAATTGTCATACTTTTTTTTACAATTTTTAAAAACATAATTGTCCAATAGTGTCATCACTTCATATTCTGTTTTTCTTTATGTAATGTTATATAGCATGTATTTCTCCACCACTACCACCACTACCATTCCTCCCACCCCCAATTTTCACATAGGCTTTGTAGTTTTCCATTTTTTTTGTGTGTGTAGTTTTTTTCTCTCTCTCTTTAGAGACAGGGTCTCACTATGCTGCCCAGGCTGGACTCAAAACTCCTGGGACTACAGCCATACCATAGCACCCAAATAAGCTATTCTTTTTTTTTAAACTCTGATCCTGTGACAGATTAATATAATACATAAGCATTCTTGAACACTAACTCCCTGCTAGGATCTTTACATATCTCATCACTAATCAATCCTCTTGACAAGCCTAAAAAGCAGGTATCATTATCCCTATTTTACAAAGCACAAAACAGACTCCGATGGACCACTTACCCTAGGCAACCTCAAGTTCTGTCCAACTAAAGCCTATATTCTCCCACTATATTCTCATAATGTTAAAAAAAATACTTCTTGGCCGGGCGCGGTGGCTCTCGCCTGTAATCCTAGCACTCTGGGAGGCCGAGGC